TTTTTCTCAATATTATAATATTAAAATATCTTTTTTCTAAAAGTAAAATTTAAAATTTTATATGCTTTGCTTCAAACGTTTTCAAATTTTGGAAATCATAGAATTGATTTATTTTTATTTGATATCTATCTATCTATATATATATATATTTGTTATTGATTTATAGTCCAAATTTATAATTTTTTTAACTAAAAAATTATTAAAATTGGGAATTAAATTAAATTGAAAATTTTAGGCATTTTATTAGCATGAGAGTTAACGAAAAAAATGAATAATATTTTGAAATAATTGAATGAATTCTACAATTCTTTTTCTCTTTCGTTTCATTCAAAGGTTCTTCTTTCTCTCTTTGTGTTTTTAAGGAATTACATTACTCTATCATCGTTTAATTTTCTATCATAATCCAGTATAAACGGTTGAAAACGCAAAGAAGAATAATTAAAGAAGAAGGAAAATAAAAGAAAAGATCAAAATTGAAAGAAATTTTGCAAGAGATAACTAAAATCACATAAATTTTACACCTTACACGAATTCAACTAAATTATATTATCAGAACTAACAATAATTCTGTTTTATATTAAATATATAATCCATGATAATAATAGATGGAGCAATTTTTTTTATTAGTGAAATATCGTTTCGAGAATATAAAATTAATCCTTAATATTTCAATATTTTTTTTGTTTCTTTAAATATAATGGTAGAGCAAAAATTTTAAACTATAAAATATTCATTGTTTTAATGCTCTATTAACTTTTATAAAAAATATTTCCAAACGAAATTGTATAAACAGAACATAAAAAAAAAATAATTCTTAAACAAATTTTAAGATTAATTTCATGTGTTCGAAAAAATTTTCTATCGTTTAAAAAATAAAATGTTAATAAATTTATATATAACTCATATTTCAAATAAACAGAAATATTCATTAAAATCAAATTTTTCGAAACAGATAAATTTCATTGTAAACATATGAACGCATTTTTCATTGTAAGTGTAAGTGAAAAGGATAGAAAAAATGAAGAAACTGAGAAAAAGATATTAGAAATGAGATAATAAATAATAATTAACGAATCGAAAAAAAAATAAACAAGAGAATAGATGGCAAACACGTAAAAAAAGAGGTGTGCGAAAAAGGTGAAGAATGGAAATAATTGACATAAACAAAGCATGAAACACATGAAGAGGGAAATAAGAGAGAGAAGGAGAGGAAAGAAGTGGCAGAAAAAGAGGAGAAGGGGCAGAGGAGGGGATCGACGTCATTTCAGTCGTCCTCCCGGATGTGCAACATCATTACACGGCATTCTTCGAGGCTGCAAGATCTCCCTTTCTTTCTTCCTTCGGTCGATGCGTTGACGTAACCGCGACAAAGCAAATTCCTCTTCCCAAGACGTGAAACATATTCTGGTTCGATTTCGATTACTCTGAACGATAATTTTAATAACCAAGCGAATTTTCAAAATTATTGATTGTTATTTGCACGTTACTCGACTTTTTACATTTGTAGATAAATTTTTTTTTGTTTATATAGTTGATTGTTTACGTATTCATCACATGCAAATAATTCAATAAGTTTTTGTTTAATAATATTTATTTTCAATAAATAAAGTTTCTTAGTGAAAATAATTTTGGATGAAGAAAATTGGATTAAATTTAAAAAATTAAATAAAAATTAATATAATTAAAGTAAAATTAGATTTAATTAATTAAAGAAAATTATAAAATATCAATTTATAATATTATAATATATTTATAATTTATAAAAGAAAATAATAGTAATTAATAATATAATAAAAAATAAAGATTAAATAATTAAAAGTTAAGTTCAAAAATTAATATATGTCAATTTTTTAAATATTGAATCTGGGAGAGAAGAGCAATTTTTTTTAATTGTTTTGTAGTTAAAATAATAAAATTAATTTAATTTAAGTCAACAATTCAAATTAATATTTAAATTCATTATTTTATAATATCTCTGCTTTCGAACTTCGACTTTACAAATCGAAATTTACCTCTATAAGTTAAATTTTTATCACCGATGCTTTTTACAATTCAAAGTATATACTTAATTATGTGTCAGTAACCGACCATTCGATACTTTCTCCTTCTTTTCAATTAAAATTGCCTTAGTTAAAAAATTGCTTTCAGTTAAAATTGCGAATGTCCGAAAACAAAAGACGACACTTATAGATTTCTCTTTCTTCGAGTACTCATCAATTGGAAAAATATTATTTCCCATACAAAGTCTTTATATGCCAAGTTTCGTTTATTAAATCTCTCTTATTGAAATCTACCTCCATAACTCGAAGATTTTAGTTCTTTCGTTGAAATTCGAATTATCAAGATTCTTTTGTATTTTAAATATTCAAACTGCAAAATGAAATGATGTTGTATCAAAAATTAAAAAATCATTCTATAAATGTAATATAAATATTATGTTAAATAATTAATTTTTATCTAATGTTATAAATTATTTATAAGTTATATATTTATATATATTAAGTTATAAATGATTCTTTTTAAATATGACATAGAGTTAAGGGTAATGTTATTGGTCCAGCCGGATTTTCCGGGGGTTGTCAGACAACAAAAAGGTTCCCGAGGAGGCGTAACATTAATCATGGGACAGGTATGTGCGAGGACTCGAGGTCGAAATCTTTTTTTTTTTCTGAAAGAACGATGATCCACAATGGAATCCTCCCTGCTTACGTTTACATCTGATCGATCGAAGAAAGAATCTTCCTGAAAAGTTACCGGCTCCTTTCTACCCACCTTGGGAATCTATTAGATCTTGGACTCGAATTCCAAGGAATCTTGTTCCAGAAGAACCACCGACACAATATTTTTCGAAAGAAAAGTTTCAATGCCCAAGCATCGGATTTGTCTCTTACATTCGTGTCAAAATTTTTTCTGAAATGTTTTTTTTTAGCTGTTGACACCACGAAAACAGCTGTTATATATATATGTACATACGTTTTCTCTCTTTTCTTTTAACCGATCTTTTCTATCGATTATCAGTAAAATTGTTTCTTGCCATTTACATTTAAATAATAAACATAATTTAATGTAGAAAATGATTTCAAGTAATCAAACAATTAACAATAAATTATTTTCTCGCAATAAGTGAGATATCAGAATATGGAATTTTTGAATGTAATGTACAGAGTTGACTGATTCGATTGACAAATCATTCGACATTTCCGTCTTCTCTTTCTCTCTTCTTTCTGTAAGATCCTTTCGAAAGGAAAAAAGAAGAAAGAAGAAAAAGATCGAACATAAGAATCGATGGTACTCATAAGCCAGCCAGGATATAACAGGTAAAACAGGTTTGTGGGCGTCCAGAAACGTGGGCTACCTGCATCGTTTCTCGAAGGGGTCCTTCTTCAAACTTCTGCCTGCTGATTCTTGCGGAAGAAAACGGAAGAAAGGGGAGAAACGCGGCACCTATGCACCTGTTCGTTAAGTAACAACGATTAACGTCTCTAAACAGCCGGTCCGTGATTTTATCTTTAAAGAAATTGTGACGTACCGAGAAATCTTAACTTTTCGTGAAATCATCCTCAAAACCGCATCATAATAATTTTGAAGAAATAAATGATTTATAAAAAAAAAAAATTTTCTTGTTGAAAAAAATATATGAATTTTTTGTTAATAAAGATTTCGTTCTTTTAAGTTCAATTTTAACTGATGTAAATTTAAATTTAGTTCATAATTTAAATTTGATTAAATTTAAATTTAATTAATAAATTTCATTAAACTTAAATTTAATTAAATTCAATTTAGTTCAATTTTATTAATGATTTAAATTCAATTAATTAATTTTAATATAATTATATTATTTTTAATAATATAAATTTACTTAAATATAATTCATAAGAATAATACAATACATGCTTAAATTTAATATAGATCGTATAAGTGAATATATTTAAACGAATGTAATGTTTAAATAATAATTCTTATAAAGATCAGAAAATAAGAATTCGGTTAACAATCGAAAGAAAAAAAAGAAAGATTATATTTTTAGAGGTCGTTGAAATATCGACTTCTTATCTCTTATCAGCTTATCAGAATTATTTGACGTGATTACTCTTCGTTAGATTCGGTAATCTTTGTCAAACCAACGATGCCTCTCTGACTATGAAACTTCTTTGATTATGAAAATTCTTTCGGTTAAAACTAAATCGAATTCTGTTCTGTTAACTTAATTAATTCTTTTGATTTAATTGATTCAATCATTTTTTCTTTTTGATATTGATAAATTCTTGTACTTTAAATTATTTTAAATTGTAAAATATTGGTACAAATTTAAAAAGATATTAATTTATTATTACCGATTTTACTATATTCATAAATTTTTATTCTATCTATAATATTCTATCTCTTTAAATTAAAAATATAAATTTTAAATAATAATATTAGCACGTTTATTTTATGATTAATAATTTTTATATTGTAAAAAAATTAATATGATAAATTTTATAGATTATATTATTTTCTAATATATATATGAAAATATTTATAAAAATATTTATAAACTGAAAAGAATAGAATTAGAATAGAAATAGAATTTAGATCGATATAAATTTAATTTATTTCGAATGAAAGATAAACATTAAAAAGAGAATAGATCGCTATCGATCTAAAAAAATGATTCGACCTCGGGAGACATTTGAGCTCGCAAAAAGGCAGGTCCGCGTCAACAGTCAGGATCGCGATTACGAGGAAGCTACGAGGAAGTCGGTAATGCCCCCTCCAACGTCCCATGGTATTTCCCACTCGATTACAACGCTTCGATTATTTCCGTTCGCGCCGTATAACCGGCTATCCATCTATCCTTGTTTAACTGAAAGGGTCGCGCGTTCCGGTGGTCCATTTGTCTCCGTTCGTCGAACGCATTATACGGCACGGCAAGTCGCGCGCATGCGCGTTGACGCAAGTCTCTCGCAGCGTGCGAGAGAGGAGTGGGGGGTATGGCGGCAAGTCGCTCCAGTGGAGATCGCGACTCGCGGCTCAGTCGCTCGCTAGCTACGAGATTGGGTAGATTAATTTTATCGTGTATACATCGCTTTCAAATACTCGCGAGACGAATCAAATCGTGTCCAAGGTGAAAAGAGACCCGTTTCGTGTTTCGTATCCTTCTCGAATTTGTCTAATTACTCCCTTGTAAACCTCCGATAACCTTAAGACTCAGTGAATAAGAGACGAACAAGAGTGCGAGAGGGAGGGAGAGTGATTCGAGTGTGCCGACTGTGATACACTTAGCCGCGTAGATAGCCGCTCTGTGATATACGCGTACACACATGGATATTTCGATACCTCTGGACTTTTCTCGTATGGACACGAAAAGCTGTTAATAAAGATATTCAAGCTTTTAATATTGTTAATTGCGAATCCTACTTATGTGCAAAGATAAATGAGAAATTCATCGAAGATATTGGATATGGATATATAAATAAATACGTACAAGATAGTGCAAACGAAAGAAGACGGAGATAAGAGAGACACGGACGGAGAGAGATAGAGAAGAGTAGCGGAAGAAAAGATACACGTGCGCGTGGTCGGTGTCTCGAGGATACCTGTGGATGCCAGGCTGGAGTTGCGACGTATTAGGGCGCGGATTTCTGTCCGATGACCGCCGAGGAGATTCATTTCGATTCACTAACCGATCTTCAGTATTGATATTACGCCGCATCAGACGGTTTATCAGCTAAGCTACAACTGAGGTAATAATGTTATTCTTATTTCTTTTTATCTTAATTTTTACTAAGCTAAATATCATTTTTTAGATAGTTTTGCGAGAAACTTGTTTTATTATTTCGTAATATTTTTTGATACATATAATTATTTTTCTTTTAATTCAATATTATATCATTAATCAACACAAATTTAATCCATTTATTTTTGTATTTTCTATTTTGTTAATGATATTAAAATTAAAAATGATAAAAAATTTAATACAATGTTTATAAAATGATTCTGTGAAAGAATGATTTAAAATTTCTTTGAAAATTATAATTTAAAATTGTAATTTTCTTAGTTTAAGATAAATTTCGTACAATTTCCTTGAAATTAGTTACACCTTTTTTTTAAAAATATATGTTTATAATCAACATTAATATTATACGTATATTTTATAACATTATATATCTATTATAAGAAAATGAATAATTGTTTTGTTTCACAAATTTCTTTTTATACTAATAATTGATTAATATAATATTGGCAATTACTAAATAACATTTGTTAATGTTATAATTTATAATTAATATATTAATAAAACATAATATTTTCATGATTTATCATATTTAAATTTTCTTTATCATATATAATATAACGAATTATGAAATTATGGATTATTTTTAATAGCATACTTTCTTATTTAACAATTTATTGCTTATGATGACTGCAAAGTTATTCGTATTTACCTTATAATAGCTTAATATGTTAATTTTCTCTTTCCGGAAGTAGCATTAAAATATGTAAAAGACAATTTATCGCAAAACATCCGAGACAATTGTTTAATTTTCTCTCTTTTTGCTTATCAATGAGTTTCATTTAAACTCGAAATCAGCTTAATTAATAATTTTCAAGCGTCATTTAACTCATCGAAGAATTTCATCGAATTTATGATTTATTACTATGATAAGTAGCTTATCAGTGTAAGGTGTATCGATCGAAATTTTAGATTTTGTAAATAAATTTTCTTTATCTTTCTTTTATGGTAAAGTATAAAGTGTAAACTTCGTTATATTTATGTATAATGAAAAATATTTTTGACATATACAATTTATTCTTTTCTCAATTATTTGTAATTTTAACTTATTAATTTAATCTAAATTGAAAACAAAAAAAAGACCCGAAAAAAAAGATAATAATTACGCAGAATTATAGATGATAAAAGTTATAATAATTTTTTTATTATTCTTTTCAACCTAAATAAACCGTGAAATTAAAATAATTTCATATTATTTAAAATTATTAATTCTCATATTAACATTCGCTAAGGGAAAAATGTAAATTCTTCAATTTTATTAAATTTTTCAGAATAATTAAATATATTTTATAACACATATATATTAATAAATGTATTATTAAATGTATTTTATAAATATTATGCGATTAAGTAATAGATAATACAATTAAGAGTTTGTAATAAGATTATACAAAATCATCGATGGATAAAATGAAATTGAAAATGATAAAGGAAGAAAAATTGACATAACCCTTTTGTTTCCTGTACACTTCAATTTCTAACTGTGTGAAGGATTTATACACTTCTCCTTCTCCTCCTGTTTTCTTTTCCTTCCACTCATGCACGCGCACGCGCAATAGGATCGCGCGCACGCACACTACTGACGCGAGTGTACAACGCGACGTGACGGCTAAGCGGAGCGGCTGTTGCTTACGCTCCTTGATCGTTATTCAGGAAGTTGCACGTTATCATTTACATAACACGTGAGCTCGAACAAAATCATGCATAATTCCTTCCTCCTTAGCGCAGCCGCGTTACCGCTTCTCTCTTTATTTTCCTTTTTTCCCCGATTGGAAAAAAAGGAGAGAAATTTATTCGTGTCGTCTTTCTCATCCGCCAAACCAAACGTATTTCTTCCAAATCTACGTCAGACAAGCGTCTTCTTTATCTATAGTAGGTTAGTCTGTTGACTAAGATCCAGCCAGCGGTTTTTCGACACATTTACTTCACAAGTATTCACGTGATCTTTGCGGTCGAATTATAACAACTTATGTTAATATTTAAATATTGAGAGTGTGTCAAAAATTATTGTTTTATACTTGTTCGTTATAGTATTACTGAATTATAAAATTTATTTTTTATTACATATTAAAATAAGAAATTTTTTTATTCAATAAGCTATACGTTAAATAATGGGGAAATTTAACATTGTAAAAATATTCAGACATAATAATTTATTCGCTATAAAAAATTATTTTATTCGGTTAATTTAATCGGTGGTACACACTGAAGTTTATAAAGATAGATATAAAATTTATGTAACTTTCTTACTCTCTGAATATTTTTACGATGTTAACTTTCGCTATTACTTAATTTATCACTTATTCTACAAAAAATATATACCTCAAATAAAATTTATGTTTTTATTAATTACTAAAAATGAATATTTTTTATATTAAAAACAGTTGTTTAAAAATATATAGATGATAAACAATTATTTTTCGCGTACTATTACTCTTTATTATGGTATAAATCTCTTAAATATCGTAAACTCGTACAGCAACATAATTATGCGATAGATTAAGAAAGAAAAGGTAAAGAAAAAAGAAAATGTATCAAGTTTTGTCAAGTCTGATTTAAATATTTATATTCATATGTTACATTGTTTCATTAAATTTCATTAAATTGTATACTATTATATATATAAAATATTGCTATCTATATAATGAATATTAATTATACATTAAATTTTGCTAGATTTTTATCATCGTTATCATTAGATATTGATTTTCAATAATTGACTATTTAGAATTGAAATTGAAAAATTAATTTTCAATACGAAACCTTTTTTTAATTGCTTTTAAACTTAATTTTTAACTTTCTAATTCTTCTTTTTATGGTATTATTAATTATAATAGCTTTTCTTTATTCTTGTATCATAAAATTATTGATATTTTAAAATAAATATATAAAATAATGTTTACAATTAAATGTAAATTGAGAATATTTGCAATTAAATAATATTTCTTATATATATATATCTATATATCTATATATATATAATGTAAAAGAATGTCTTGAAGAAAAATTAAATTTTTGCAAATTATTTAATTGTTCATTATTTAAAAAAATATATAAAATTAATAACTTTTAATAGTTATCTTTAATAGTTAATTTTAATTTGAATATTACTATGTAATGCAATTTTTATTCTTTCTTACAAGCAATATATAATAGCAAATAAAAATTTTTCTCCTACACTTTCGTTCCGTTTTATCGATTAACTCGAATCTATTCATAGTGTCACACACTTTTAGTCTAACGAATTGAAATTCATCGAACCAACGAAAAAAAAAAATTTAATTTTCGAAAAATTAATACGTTAATATATCATTTTTATCAGCGTAGAAGGAGGAGAAAAAGTATTATTCTCTAACTAGAGAATGTTCGGTTGAAAGGTTTTTACGTCCATTTTCTATCGCAGTGAAGAGAGCTGATAAGAGGTTAAAGGGGAGAAACGGCGTAGGAGGAAGAGGAAGTGGGCGGTGAGGGTGGTGGGAGGGTGAGAGAAGAAAGGCTTTCGAAACGTAATTCCGGCCGGAAGAGCCGGGAACCCGGAAGTGAGAGAGGAAGCACTACGGGGTGGCAGGGTGGTAAGGGGGATGGAAAATTCTCCAGAGCCTCGAGGGAGGGCTCGATCGATCGTTAAGATCACGGACGAGGTGTCGACATCTAACCACCAGCAAATTTCTAGCAACTCCTTTCGTTATTCTTACCTGATTCAAGATGGATTATTGAAAAACTATTTTTCCATTTTTTTTTCATCTTCATTATATTAATTAATAATACTATAAATATAAATATATAATAAATTCTGGAAATTTATATTTATATTTATATTTTAATATTTAATAAAAGTATTTGAGTAACTTTGCAATAAATGAAATTGTTAACAATAAGAATGTGTATATTAGAGTTAAATTTTGTCGTAATTATTAAATATCAAAATTGTACGTATGAATTTTCTCTTATTATATGAGAGAAAAATGATCTTTTAAAATTTCAATATTTTTTTAATTATAATTTTTTATTGCGAAGAAGAACAAAACTTTTAAATACATGTATAAAATGTTTAGATCTTAATGATTTATTATATTATAGCTTTATTATATTCCCAGATGAAATTGTATTCAAAACATGAAAGAATACTGATGCTTTTGAGGATTAATTTCATCCCTTCAAAAAGAAAAGCAATTGGAAGATCGATTATTGAAGCGAAAACAAACATAAAAATTGATATACAAAAATATTGATTGAGATTTATTTATTAAAATTATTTATAAGCAATTGAAGTTTGCATTAGACGAAATAAAACGGAGATAGATTTAGATAGCTTTATTTTCGCCATACGTCTTTCTTATTTTATCTCTATCTCATTTGATCTAACATAAACTTCAATTATTTGTAACTTAATAAATAAGTCTTAATTAATATTTTTCTATTCTATAGAAAATTTTTATGTTTTTGATCTTTAAACTTAATTTTTAATTTTTAAAAATTTTTCAAAGATATCACAAATTATATTTACATTTTATACACAAAAACTTTTTTTATTATCAAGATTTTAGATTAATTTCCTTGTGAAATAATGTTCGACTATTTTTATGAGCATTTATATTTTAAATTTCTATTTGATTTTAATTTTTATGATGATAAAATCTTGAATTTAAATATATACATTTAAATTATATATATATATATATATAAATATATACATATTTAAATTTAAATTTTTTTTCAATTTTCTCAATGGATTTAAATCACGAAATTACGAAATAGATATATTATAATTCTATGGTTAGGATATTCTTAAAATTAATATACTTATCTTGACTAAATTTCAATATTTGTGGAACTTTTTTTTGAATTAGGTTCTTTGAAATACAAAGACGAAACAATGTAAGTTATATTTAATATTTTTTTTTATTTTAAATTATATCACAATCAAATATATAGAAAATACACATGAAT